TCGCCAATATATTCATCTCCGCAATTATTACAAGAGATCAGGTATATCGTACCTGAACTCATGCAATCACTGTCCCTGCCGTAAGGGCAAATTACGCAATTTGAATCGTGTTACTTTCTGTTTTTACCGTAGAGTCATTACCTCTGGATTACTTCTATAGTTCTTGGTCCGATTTTGTCTCAAGACAATAAGAATTTTCTTTAAAAATAAACATTTTTAGTGATGAGGTTAGCTGTACCTCTATTTTTCGTATTTTTCGTTTGCTTCTGTTTCGCAAGATATCCAAAGCGATATGTTGTCGATCTGGACCTCCCGGCTTCCGAGCGATGGAATGAGGTGGTGCATGATCATCTTGACGCCATCCCAGGATTCATGAAAGCAGCACAGTAAGTCTTAATGATAGACAAGTTATCTGATCATCCATTTGCAACAAAGCCATGGTATAGTATTAACAATATCACAGAACTTTTCGCAAATGAGTTTAGAGATTCTATGAATCATTGAATTAAGTTACAAAGCAAAGCTATAGAACGGTTTAACACAGCGGATGGACGTCTGTTCGGTTAATCAGTGTTGATAAAAGGTGTAACTTGTCACGTATATCTGGATACTAGGATGACTTATCTTGACAAGGTTTGTGGTGTTTTCTTCTTCCAATCTGGTTAAGCTGTTTCTTTTTCTATGGAATCTTGGAAAGCCTATGCGAAGGCGCTCCTATTTCTTAACCGCTGGTAACTCGTGACCCCTATGGATCGGTGATATACTTCCCACTTATGTCGCTATGTTAATTGCAGGACAGCAATAGTGCCTTGCATTAGTTTGCTCCTAGCTGAGCATTCGCATGGAAATGTTGAACTTATTCTTAGCTTGGTTGGTCCGGTGACCAGGTTAACTCCTTGCCGTTCATCACAGTTTCTGGATTAAGAACACACGTTTCCAAGATGAAGCGTGAAACCACTGGGGAGTAGGTGAGGGTTCTGTTACGCAAATGATTATTTAATGCAACTAGATGTGGTGTGTAAATCTTTATAAAATTTCTTCTTTGTGAAACATCCCCCGTCTTTGTTTTTCCCTCCATTATTATGGTTTAGTGATAGTGTTTTTTTTCATTAGTTTACTTTTTGTACCTTATGAAATAAACAGGCAGGGAGGACCAGGCGCCAACATAAGTGAGAGCACCGCCCTGAAGCACAACAGGTCAGGCAGCTGTCGCTGTCCGCTAGCTGGTCGAGAGGTGAACACCAGAACAACTTTGGTAGTCATCGCATTTTTCAAATTCACCTTCACTGTCTTAGCGAATTTCTGTGATAAAATAAACGCCTACGAAAGTGATATATAAGATTGATTCTACGCCTCTGAATTCTACAGTATGCAGCTAAGTTTTTTCTTCATGGATAAAAAAGTCATCACCTCTATCCTGTAGCCCCGTTAATCGTCGAACGACTCAAGCGGGCGCCAGTGTATGTTCTACTTTTCCCTGTCGCGTGCAGGAGTAGCCCAGTGGGTTCTGCTCGCTCTAGGAACTCATTCAGCATCACATCTTTTCTTTTTTCTAAGCTTTTCGTGGAGAACTCATACATCCAAACTCAAACTCATATAAAAAGGCATACATCCTATTATTTTCAGAGTCTATGTGCCGAAACATCTTCTACCTATAGCGTTTTTTGTGGCACAACAACTGAATCGTTTCTTTCCTGATGAGTATGCCGAAGAAGTTCGAGGTGATCACAAAAATACAGTCTCTTCTGTTTTCCGAAGAGATTATGCTTTAAAGGTATCGCTCGAGCGTCCAGCTTACCATTGGGCTTCATCGTGTCGATGAATATTCTTTACGACATCGTTGCCTTTGATAGAAAACAGTCAGTGATCCCGTTCAATCTTGGTGGCGCTGTTGACGTTGATGATTTTGATAGTTTGTCGTGACTGCTGAAATAACCAGGCCGTTATGCACTCCAAATGAACATAAATCAGTTCTTCAGCATCTTCCAAATGGGATGCACATCGATTATTGCGGAAAACGAAGAAGGCATCATTCTCCATGGTCGCAATCTTGACTATGTAATTGGAGATCTCTTGAAGAACATCACCATCCTCGTCGATTTTGTTCGTTGGCATGGTCAAGAAAAGGTCAGTTAGACCTTTCCTGGGACCGAACTCATTGTTTCTCGAAGTTTCATTTCTTAATAATCGACAAAAACACTTATATGCTTCACTCAGCGTTGAAGAAACACTAGATTGATTATTAGAGAAGTATTACCATTAAAACATAAATGCAAACATCCTTGCTTTGCTATCGCTCTGAAACTGCATTATTCCGCAATAGTACTTGTCTAATTAGCTTTAAAGTTGCCTACTGGCGAGAAACGGAGCTTTTTATTGTATAGCAACTGATTTTTGAATAAAAAGTCCTCTTCTGTGAAAGGCACGGTTCTGTAACGTAGGGGACACTTTGGAAACTTAGTCTAACCCATGAAAATCAACTATCATCGCGCTCTTTGCAGAAAATCGTTTACAGCGGTGTGACGTTCGCCTTGTCAACAACTCTGATCACTGGCCAAAACGGTGCATTCTCAGTGAGCCTCAATGCTCGATGTGAGTTTTCTTCGCAGAATTGGCTTCTGATTCTGAATTTAGTCTTATCACACTACTGTTGCTATACAAATGGTACTATGCTACTTTGTTATCCAATGATTTATAAAGATTTTATTTTCACATACTTCTTACTTGGATAGTTGGATACTTCAGCGGCCCGTCTTCAATGGTTGTATGGCCCCAGCATATTCTCCATTTTTCGGAGTTTTGCTGGTCTAGTCGTTGTGATTCCCTGTCGTCCCAAGGACAGCCTGGTTAAAGTCTGTCGCAGGTCATCACCACCACAAGCAGTCGCAGCTTTTGTGGATCAGAGGGAGATTTGCCACCATATGACTTTCTACCAGGATGGTGGTAAATCCTAGTATCGGTTTACTCTTAGCTAGGCTTCTTGCTAGAAAAGCCGTACTCCTTCCCAGTTTGGGAGACCTTGCCAAGGAATGAATTCTTCCACTTTACATTGCAGCCCGACACCCACGAACACTTCCCAGCCACGCTTAGGCGGTAAACTGTTGGGAGTTTCACATACTTCTATGAGATGCAGTCAGTGAGAGAAAAGCACGACATCGCACACTAAGGAAGGATTAGTTTTCAATAATTATGTAGTTTCTTTGTTTGAAACAAATACCGCATGAGCAGTCCATCCTCGCTATCAACGTGTGTGGCGCAGTTTGGAGATCACTTGACAATAACTGCCACGACGGACTTTCTATTAACCTCGGCATTGATCAAGTGATTTTGTTCGTATTTTTTTTTGAACAAACGCGAGGTGTTATTGTTTTTTGTTCACGATTAAGCTGACGTTTCGGCGAATTTCGCCTTCTTCAGAGCCTGGAAAGGTCAAGTTGATAGCAA